ATCCTACATAGCAGTTCTCAGTTGAGGCACTGCTGTCTTATCCTTAAGTGATGGTATCTTTCTCAGTCTAGTCCCTATGCAAATAGACGCAATGGGATGGACTGTAAATCGTTAGACATCTGGTTTAAAAATGTCAGTGGGATTGTGAAAACCTGAATTTTCCATACCACAAATATTGTACCATACTTGGACTAAATGTAATTACATGCGTTTAAACTGTTCATATACACAACTTAGTGGTCTAACAAAACCTTATATTGATTCAAGTGCCTAATTTTTGTGCTATCAAAATAGACGGACTTTGGTTCCCCTAGTATAGAGTGATATTTGGAGATAGATAGAGAGATACAGAGATATATAGAGAGATGATACTTAACTCCTTAATCTTCTGTACAAATTCTGTGAAACGATCCCAGAATTGGTAAATTTATGAGATAAGCTTCTAGGTTGATATGCCTGTAAATAAGTGACTAGAACACTGATAATATCCTGTTAATGAAGTACTGTTAGTGTTCATTTTGCTTTAATTAACATTTTTAAACACTACTTAATGGATTGAAGCCAGTTAGGCTTTAATTACTAGCTAAATATAGTTAATAACATTTTTAATTATTGTCAAATACTGAGTGACAATATAGCTACAGGTTTTAATTCAAATACTTCAGTTAATCTATACTACGTTTCCAAGTGCATAAACAGCCTTTCAGATAACTTGCTGGTGTTTGTAGTGCATGAAAAATTCTCTTGGTTTTGAGTGTTTCTGTACAGAGAAATGAGCATGTAATCTTGATTAAGTCAGATTTATTGTGGGTAACTAACCCCCATTCCTTTCTTTAAAGTGCCCAAACAAGTTTGGATTTTTTTTGTTTCGGTTTCTGTACTTCCTGCCCCAAGTGGTTTTAAAGTGTTGATTTTCTTTCCACATTTAAAACTGCAGCTAAAAGTATTTAAAGCCTATATGATAGTTCTTATAGGAGAAATCTGCCTGTGCTGGTCTCAAAGGGTATGTCAGTATAAACGCCCCTTGTGGCTCTGAAAGAGAAACAGGCTGAGGCTGAAGTAGCAGGGGAACCAGATGTAGTGGAGTTCGTGATAGTGCAGACTGTGCCACGGCCTGGAACACTACTCCTCTTTTGTCTGGGAAGGCTCTGCTGCCGGCGTTGCTTCAGCTGTGTAGCTTCTCTGGAAGGCCGTGTGTTGTGCCATGCAGAACTCCTCGGGGTAACTGACCCCGGCATCTGGCCTCAGACCTTTATTCGGGATTTTTTTGTGTGATGTCACTGCTGGTTGTAGCTCTGTCCTACTGTGTGCTGATCAGGCAGTGTTTCAGTTTAGGGTTTTTAACAGCAAATGTTGGGCATGGGAGGGAAGGCCTTAAGAGCACTGTCATCTTACCAAAAGTCGTCTTTCTGATCCTGATGACCTAGATTCACTCTGCTGATTCTTCCCTGTAGTGCATTGTTCTCTGAAATAGCTCAGCTGCTGTTTAGCTCACTTCAATACCCCTTATGAAGGCAACAATCTTGATTTGAATCAGTTCCTTTTAAGTGGACGAGTATGATGTTAGCTAAAACCTGCCTAGGCTCAGCGGGGGGCTTAGTGTTTGTGGAATACTTAATTCAGTATATAATCATTGAGCTATTACCCTAGTAAGAAGATTATGTTTGATATTAAAAACTTGTTCTGTGTGCATCAGTGACAGTAACATTTGACTTTCAGTGGTTTTGTGGGGTTTTCTCTCTCCTGAAATATTCCTGTTGTTATGTGTTCCTCCTGCAATTTCCACTGCCCTAAAGAATGAAGAGACTAGTTCAGCAGGCATGAGTTAACTCGTCTGCCCAGCTGGCCGCTCCCAGAATAGGTGTGTGGGTTATCTTTTCTTACTTTGCCTCAGTGAACACCACCGAGCTGCTTATTTTCCTCAAAAATGTATAGGGATACAAGTTGGTTGATAGGTACAAAAGATACTGGATAGCAATTGATTTATGTAGTTGTGACTTAGTAACTGTTGTCCGAGTTTCCTTACAAAAACAAGCTCAAAACTAATTGCAGAGTAACTCTGTCTGCATCTATGACTAAGCTGAGTTTCACCTGGGGAGTTAAGCTTTGATCTGTGTTGTAGTATCTTACTGTTCGTGCTGTAGTATTTTTTGTAGGAAGCATGCTCTGAATTTAGGAAGTGGCACAAACTGTCCTTGTCTCTCCTGCTGATAAACTCAGTTTCATGGGCTTAGTGTTCTTTCATTTCTGCTTTTTTTTTTTTTTTTTTTTTTTTTTTTTTTTTTTTTTTTTAAGTCTGTTACTGTTAAAGTTCTCTTGCCAGTAGTATAATGTGGATTTAGTAGAATGGCATATATTTTATCCTGTATTGCCAAAAGAAAGAGACTTGGACTGTAATGTGATTACTTGTAAAAGTGGCCAACGTGTATCATTAGTATCAATTATCAGTAGAGGTGTCTTCAGAGGTGTGTGTGATCAAAGCTTGTAAGCATGAGCTGTTTGGGGGCAAAAATGCTTTAAAAATTGATATTGGAGCTCAGACACTTAAGTGAGGGATGTTGCTTTGTTTGGGACACACTGTTTCCTAGTGAGGACAGCCATCTTCATTTCAGCCCCTGCAAGCCTCCCATGTCTCCAGAAATAGGTGTTTCTCTGTGTTCCCCTTGATGCACCCAGGAAGAAGCTGCTTGAGTTATTTATGTATTTAACAAACAACACTGGGATTCACCAGAGAAGTGAATTCTGATGCAAGGATGGTCTGGTATAAGTTTTCTGCAGTAGATGAGCCTAGGCTTACATTCTACTCTGCCAAACTCAACCTTTTATTCAACAGTATCTTTTAAAAATATTAATGCAAACAGAATTAATTCAATAAAGTATTTTTTTAACAGATAATAGAAATGTTCTTCAGTAGAAAGGCTATTTGTGTGTCTATGAAATAGTGTAATACATTAGTACTATTAAATCGTGGTTCATCCTAAGCCACTATTTGCCATACATTTCCTCCTCACTAAGCATAGATAACCCCTAATGTAGTTTCTTGCAGTCATAGAACAGCCTCAGAGGATCATCTAGTCCAATCTTTTGTTAGAAAGGGAGCCTAGATGAGATGATCTAGCACCCTGTCTAGTCACATCTTGAAAACCTCCAGTGATGGAGGCTACACCATGTCCTTGGGGAGGTTGTTGTGGTAAGTAATTGTTCTCACTATAGAAAATGCCTTTATCGAGATGAAACCTCTTCTGGAATCAACACTTTCATACTGTGTGCTGTAATGATGCTGAGTGGAGGAGGAAGTAAAAAAGGGCAGTATAGTATCTTTTACATACTGAAACAGTTATAATGAGAATCTACCTAGTTTCACTTTTAACAAGACAAATTTAATAGTGAAGTTTGCTAATCTACAGATGATCCTGTAGCATAGTGGAGTGAAAATGCTTGGATCCTATGTCTTTGGAAAGTACAAGCAGAATACAAGGAAGATATTTGAAAGACCCAGTTTGTGGGTTCAGTGTGTGGGTCTGGTTGAACCTGTAAGAACAGATAATCTGAGCCTTTTCCTGAGGGCTTCTCTGGAGGCTGCCTGTTGTGGCAGTCTGTCTGCTCATCCCTGCGTGCCCTGGGGCCTTCCCGGTGGCAGGCTGCTGGCTTTTTTTTTCTGTCATATGACTAAACTTTTAGGAACTCTTTCTGACACATGCCAGTCTTACTGGGTGATTGACATTCACTGGTCATGTGGCCGTGTCGCTAGTCATGGCTAGTCATGTTCTTGTGTGACTGGGTGTCTTTGATGTGGTGATTAACACATGTGGCTTTTGTCACATGGCAGAGGTGTCCCTGTGTGTGCGCTGGGGAGAAGGTGAGTTTTACTCTGTTCAGTATCTGTCAGGTTGCATCGCCTTTTGTAGCTCAGATAGGGCAGTGCTCACTTAGTAACTTAGCCTTAGCTGGAAAATTCGGGGCCTCCAAAATTTAGCTGTTACCTGTTCTCTGGGATTTTCCATGTCTTCTGGGCAAAACAATTTATCTGTAAATTAAAAACAAACAAAAATCAACCCCAAAACATTTTGATTCTACCTTTCCTCTTCTGGTTTATGTTTACTTGTGAAACCTTGCCCTTCTGCTTCCTGAATTGTCACTCAGCAAGCGGCAGAAAATTGCAGAGGGGTGAAGTATGTTTCCCACTCCTCCCCCCCGCCCCCCGCGGTGAAATAGCACTATCTGCTCCCTTTCCTTCTTCCCACAATCTCCTGTTTAAGAACTGAATACAGGTAAATTTTGTCCTGTTTTTCTTTTCCCTCATATCACTACAGCTGTACAGCATTCCTATCCACGTTTGCTGTTGATACTTAGCAGTCATAATAGGTGTGGTGTGTGTTTGCTTTGTTCTTGCGGTTTCTAGTTTTTACATCGGGTAAGTTGTCTTTGTCAGCTAACAGAATTAGGCGATATGTGAGTAGCTGCTAAATACGCAGTAATTGGCAACCTAAGCTTTAGGTTATTTTACCTATTGTTTGTGCTCCAGTACCCTTCATGGCCCCAGTGAGGATTGTGGCCCAACTCAGCCAGATGCTAAAAGCCTACCTTGATGGCAGTTGTGCTAAAATTCTTTTTTCTGTGGTACATTTGTTTAATCTCTGCAGCTGTGAAAAGGAGGAGGTGGTTGTTAACTAAAAGCAATCCTTGCATCTCATTTAGCTGAAATCAAATATAATTAAAGAGAACAAATGAGCCTGAATCCAGTCTTTATTTCCTCTGAATATATAAATGATTACTTTTGACAGAGCACTGATTTCGCTGTACGGTGGCGCATTAGGAAGCGCTGCCAAGACTCTTCAGGGGCTCTGTAATGTGTTGAAGTGACTCAGTCCGCCCTAGTGATGGGAGGCATAGGATGAGTCGTGTTCCATCATAACTTCTGACATACCTTCTGATGATCTTTGCAACTGGGTTAAATACTGAAATCTAGCAATGCAAAACTTATTAAAGAATTAATGTTCTGTCTCTCTGTCAGATACCGTGCTTATGTGGAAGTGCCCCGTGCCTGCTTTGCCGATGCTGCCCCAGTGGAAACAACTCCACCATAACTCGGCTGATTTATGCATTCTTTTTACTTCTTGGCGTGAGTGTTGCCTGTGTGATGTTAATACCAGGCATGGAAGAGCAGCTGAAGAAGGTCAGGTTACTTCTTTGTTTAAGTGTTTGGTAGGACAAGTGTCACAGATAATTGTAAATGACATATTGAAAGCATGGGTTTTATTTGAAAGTAAGTCATTCTGCTGCTGCCTGTGCTTCTCAGTCACCATTAATTTGATTGTAGATCAAATAAAGAACTTGTGGGACAATCACTGCATAGATGAAAAGCACTATTTAGAAATAAAGTTGCACCTTTAATAGCTCAGAGCAGAAAAAAAATCTCGTATCAAACAGGAAAATGTAATTTATGTATGTGGAGTTTTAGATTATATATTTTGGAGATGTTTGTATTTGGCATTTGATTTTTGATTGCTGTTAGTAAAATAAAAAAAACAATCTAGGATGTCTTCTAGTTTCATTGTGCTGTATTAGTCAAAATTCTGTTTTAAAGTCTGCAAAAGCATAACAAATATTTTTCACTAATGATAGTAGCATATTTTTCACTAAGGAAATTAGGAAGTGCTTATAGAATTTTACAGTTTATTAGTTCATAATGTGAAGATATGATGGCTCATGTAAAATTACAGAGTGATAATTTGAGTTATGGGGAGGGCTTATAGGTTTACTGAATTCAGGTTGCATGTGCTTTGGTTCTGTTAATCATTTTGCTGTCTTTAATTTTTTTTCTCATAGGTAGTAAGTTCTGTTAGGCATGCTTTTGATTTTTCTACTCCCCAAATGATTAATCCGTAAACGTTTATTTCAGTGTGGTGTAGTAACCACATCAGAGCTTAAGTGAGAGCCACGTTAGTCACCTGGGAAAGAAAATTGCAGTCTTTTGCAGTGTGTTTTGATTTCAGAAAGATGTTGCTCATGTCCTGGTAGTGACTAGAAAGGATATTCTCAGCTGTTTCATATGGGAGTTACAGATACTTCTAGTTGATGGTGATGTTACTTTTTGGGGGGAGGCTATTTCTGTTTTAGAGATGTGAACAGGCTACCTTCTCTTAGCTGTGTCATGAACCTGATAGTAACTGTCAAGTCAAATTTACCAAATCACAGATCTTTTATTTATCTTCTGATTCAGATAAACATGAGAAAACTGCCTATCTTTGAGAAGTTCTGAAATTGCTAATACATCCCCCCACCCCCCATTAATAAGATTTGGTTTTGTTTAAAATTTGCAGGATTTTTTTTCCTTGAATGTGTTTAATATTCTGGTTGGACTATAACTGACAATATGGCCCTTCAGTATCCTATTGGCTAGCAGTGCTAATAGTTGCATAATATTACAGTATAAAAGAATTGTATGTTAATTGCTATTAAGTATTTACTCATAGAACGCCTTTTTTTCAGATCACTGAAATATCTTGTTTTTATCACAGATCCCTGGATTTTGTGATGGAGGGATGGGAACAACTATTCCTGGTGTGCATGGCCATGTGAATTGTGATGTACTAGTTGGTTACAAAGCTGTGTACCGTGTGTGCTTTGGTATGGCCATGTTCTTCCTTCTCTTCTCTTTACTGATGATCAAAGTGAAGAGCAGCAATGACCCAAGAGCTGCGGTGCACAATGGGTAAGATACAGAAATGAGGGCGGTGTGTGCATATGAGATACAGCTACTGTGAAAATAAAGCCTGTGGCTGACCATGCTGGTCACATTCACTGTTCCACAGAGATTTTCATAGTAGCTAGAGGAGTGTTGTTGCAGTAGAGGACATTCAAAGTTAATAAGAGTTCTTAGACATGGCAGATTAATTTTTGTAAGAGGAAAAGATACACATGACTGTCACTTCTCAGAGCCTGAACTATGACAATGGATAATCTGTCCAGAGGTTTCCTGCGGTTTGAGATTCTGCTTTTGTCCAAAGATGACAATATTCAGACATGAATAATGGTACTAAGTTTGATTCCACTGAGATTTTTTTCAACAAATAGAAAGATTAAAAAGCTTCACTTGTTCTCTAGGAATTAGTCCTTTTAACTTTGATGTTTGTAAGGTCTTGTTCTTTTCCAAACAGTTTTATTTTAAAGATTGTAAGTTATATATATCACTATATAGATATATAACATATCTATTTCCTCTCTGCTACCTTTTCTTCAGTCTCCCATCTGCATAAAGAAGAGCGAGTTACACATTTAGTTTCTGAGCTTCCCAGTAAATTTTTCCTTCTATTTCTGCCATTTGATAATTCTAACTATAATGATAATGGTGGAATTTCAGCTTGCGAGTTGACACAAGTGGTAGCTTTCATCCAGGCTCAGTCTATATGTAATGTAGCTTCTTGAACCAAGGAGATATAAATATTTGTAATAGGGCATGGCACTAAAATGCATAAAACCATTTATGGTGCCTAGTCTTGGTGGTTGTAGTGATTGCTTAGACTACTACTTTTTCAAGATGATTATATTTAGTAGAAGCTATGAACAGCTGAGCCATAAAATTAAAGAAATTTTATTTTATATTCAGTATAATAAGGTATATAATAACATTTCTAGTGTAAAATAAGAAACAATTTCAAATTATTTCTGTAGGGGAAAAGAAAATAACTAAGACTGAACAGAATATTGCTTTGTTTACTTATTTTGTTTGTTTTGGTCTAAAGAAAAAGAGGCCTGGTACAGTACTGAGGTGTGTTAGCAGCAGTAGCTCAGTTCAGCCTTTCTCTCCGTTCTGCTTTGTTCAGGACAGCGTATTGTTACAAACAGTAAAAGGGTTCAGATACATTCTGTATCAACAATTTATTTTTTACAGCAAAATACCTCTTTTTCCTAAAAGTGTTTCTTAAGTGTTTGGGATCTTCTTGATACCCTTATCTGGGGTTGTGCTCCCCCGTACAAATTTTGGTTTTATTTATGCAACCTGTGGTGGTTTACTCTTCTTAACCAATCTAGTGTCAGCACTAGGATAGAAGGAAAAATGATACTCGTTAACTGTTACTGGTAAAACATTTAATAATGTTACTTCCAACACTTCTGTAACAATTGGTTGCGTCAGTAGTATGCATTACAGGTAGCTTTATGAAAACCATGTTCTGATTTTTTAAATTGTATGTGTCTTCAGTAATACTTAAATATGTAATCTTTCTGTCAGTTATCAAAATATTCAGAATATTAGATTTTCCCACATAGGTGTACTACCTTTCTTTCATACTTGTATGCAAGTTAAGCCCATTAATGTGATCCAGTGCCAGTGTTCACCTTCTTTGCTTTTGTAACAGCAGTCAGAATTGTTTCTTGCCTCAGGTTGATGATGGTGATGATAAAAAAATCAGTTACAATGTATTCACAGGATTGTTGGTGGCTTGCACAGAATGCATAGCAACTGTAGGTGTTACTTCAGATGAGTATTGGTTTTGGCTGTCACATGTTGGATTGATACAGTGTTAAGATCACTTAAAGTTTGGAATTTATACGAAGGTGAACCCGTTCTTATTTCTGTAATTGCGAATGATATTGATTTAAAATAAAATTCCACATGTGGATTCAAAAACCAGTTTTAGTGGGGTATGTATTACACCATAAATGTTCTAACATAATTCAGCTTTCAAACTGGGTTTCTTCACTTCTCTGTGTCCCAGTGAATTAGTCCATTTTTGTCATATTCTGTACTTCTGTCATCTCACATAGTTCCTCTCCACACAATAAGAATTTATTCTTCTGGTCACTATCATGTGGTTGTAACAGCCAGGAGGAGAGATTAAACTTGTTCAAAATACGGGAAGAAATGGGAAGGGATAGGAAGCTTGAAAACTGCAAGTGTTTGACATCACGGGGGTGAGATACATGCTATATTCAGTTTTGAAGTACATATAGGTGGATACTGTGTCTATATTTGGAACTGCCTGTCACTGTGATAGGAAAAAATGGTCTTCGCCTTCTTACAGTTTGGCCTAACTTTTTGAAGTACAGGGTATATGCAGGGTATATGTGTACACAGTCTTTATTTAGGGTGAGTTTGGTGAATCTTTGGTGGAAGATATTTTCTTGTCTGCTTTTTTGTTTGTTCATGCATGAGTTCATACCTTTTACTGAAAAAAAATAAAAAATTCTGTTGCTATTGCAGTGGAACCAGGGACTTAGCATTTGATTGTGTCCTTCCTGTGAAGGATAAATCCTTTGCTTTTGTGATAAATCCTCATCTTAGGCCTAAAGAGTCTGAAGTTAGATGGGAAGAACCCAGGCTTTTGTACATCTCTCTTGGAGGAAATAAATTGAGACTGGTAGGGAACTCCAGCATAATGTTTTCTGTCACTGTAGGCACCAACCAGATCTCCTGCCTTTTTGGTTTTGATATTAAAAACAGGTAGGGATTTTCTTTAACCCATTTTTCTGATATGCAGGCAGTTCAGTAATCTCACTAGTTAAAAACAAAACCAAAAACCAAAGCAAAATTCACAATTACATTTCATCTTGGATTCATTTGTAATACATTAGTGAGGTATCTCTGGGAAATGTGTCAAACTCCATGTCAGTCTAGCACAGTTTAAGCATGATTTTCTGGAGAAAAAATCTTGGGCAGATAAAATAAGATTTTTATCCTACTTCGAAAGTGCGTTAAGAATGAGTGAATTAAAAAAACAACTCTTAAGAATGTGCACTTTGTATACTTACAAATTTTTGTGAATTAGATCAGACCAGCAGTTGCCTCACTTTTTTGGGTTTTTTTATTCCCTTTAGATTCTGGTTCTTTAAATTTGCAACGGCACTTGCAATTAGTGTTGGAGCTTTCTTCATACCAGAGGGACCATTTACAACCGGTAAGGGAATATTGTCTTCCACTGTATCATGGTGCAATTGTAATTGGTTTTAAAACAGAACTAAGTGCATGTTGATGTTTTATAGCTTTAATTGTAGCTGTGTAATTATAGCACTTTCCTGTGTTAGGAGCATTAAGACAGGGTGGTAAATTATCTGTGATTCTGAACTAGTTTTGTTTTATTTCTCTTTTAGTGTGGTTTTATGTAGGTATGGCTGGGGCGTTCTGCTTCATTCTTATTCAGCTGGTCTTGCTAATTGACTTTGCCCACTCCTGGAATGAATCTTGGGTTGAAAAAATGGAGGAAGGAAACTCAAGATGCTGGTATGCAGGTAAAGGACTGTACTACAATCAAGTTGTAAATTTCATTGTGTGTTATGTTAAATAAATTATTCACAGAGCAATGCATTTTTCCAGAGTGTAGAAGGGCTGCTTCATGCATAAGTATTGTTTTCTGAGGTGGTGTAGTTCAGTTCCATTGTCTGGCTGTCCTTTTGATGGCAAGTTAGGTAAGAGGGGGGCAGGGAGAGGGGCAGCAGCCTCTGAGATCTAATCCCTGGGAGCAGAGGTTCAGTTTATAATGGCAGAGAAGTGGCAGTAGTAGTTTTTTTTTGTTGTTTTTTTTTTTTCCAGCCACAGGTTTTGTTACATCTTGGTGCTGATTAAAAATGACCTAGCCTGTTACTGCTTTATGTGAGCATAATCATTTTAAATGCTTTTTCTTTCTGTCATTCTCTGAATGTATATGCTCAGTGAAAGATGTAGATAGTGAAGGAGGAGAGTACAGGTCATCTCACTGGAGAAATGATATGTTAATATTCATGAAGCATTTCAGATGTGATAGATTAGCTGTTTCAAAAGACAGCACAGCTTGTCTTCGTGCAATGGCCACTTCACTCTGTTTTTAGTGAGATGGAATTTGGAAATAAGACTTTGTTTTTCTTTCTGTTGGAGAAATAGTTCTTCGGTTTATTTTTTTAAGCTTTTAGCCAAAGTGTATGTGGTATACCTGTATTCCTTCATACTTGCTGCTCTTAGTTGTTCTTAGACCACTGGAGAATCAAGTATGACTTCAGGCTTTCTCTTTATTGCATTCTTTCAACACCTCAGAATATTGAGAAGAACTTACTTCCTTTACATTTCAGTGCCCAGAGCTGCTTTCTAATTGTCATTGTATACCATATCCAAAACCTGATAATCATGCAATATTATTTGTTTTAATAGTCCCCATTATTAACCAGTTTAACTCTGTTTTTGTCTTTTCACAGCTCTGCTGTCAGCTACAGCTGTCAATTATCTGCTGTCTCTAGTAGCTATTGTCTTGTTTTATGTTTATTACACTCATCCAGAAGGTTGTTCTGAAAACAAGACATTCATCAGTGTTAACATGCTGCTGTGTATTGGTGCTTCTGTAATGTCAATTCTGCCAAAGATTCAGGTATAGTTTCAATTGTTACCTTTTGGGTTTTTTTTTTGTGTTACCAGACCCAGAAACCTATAATGTAATCGTACCTGAGACTTGTTTGCCTAACTTTGCTGTTTCGTGACTACTTTGTATAGGAATCTCAGCCAAGATCTGGTTTGCTGCAGTCTTCTGTCATCACAATTTATACAATGTATTTGACTTGGTCAGCAATGACCAATGAACCAGGTAGGTGTAGTAACACTCTGTGGCTTTTTGGGTAACTAGTTCAGCACTAACTTGTATCTTCACCTTTTTGCAAGGCAGCGTTAGAACGGGGTACTATAATGCATGCAAGTTAGAGGCAGGACTCACTTGTTCATGCTCTCTTCCCTCCCCCCCCCAAACTATCTGTAATAATACCAGAGAAATAGTTCTTCCTAAGATAATGTGGTTTTATGTTTATCATATGGAAGAATTTCTACCTATTATTTACAGGACTGTAGTATTCTAAAGCTTAGATATTGCATATTATCACCATTCTTCCCAGGTGTCTGGAATGTTCATCTCCCTACCAGGTTTAACATTTCTTATCTAGTGACTGAGATGCTATTGATAATATTTTTCCGAACTGAGGATTTAAAAAAAAAAAAAAAAAAAAAAATTAATTTTATTTAATTTATATTTAATTATTTATAAATTTGTGTCTGAAAACAGCTGATCATCTATAAAACAAACAAATTCAGAAATTCTGGTGATTAAAAGAAACAGCCAAATATTGATTTTGGTGGTTTTAATTAGGTCTCTGGCCCTTTTAATTATGGACAATCTTCTGTGCTTCTGTGCAGCAGCACACATGAATCATATCTGATTCCTTCAGTAATTATGGGGAAATAGATTGTCTGCTACTTACAGCTTTTTCATCTGTTAACTGTGGATGCTGGCGGTTGGGAAGTGTTGTTAATATGAAACTGAGTTTATAGCATTCTTTTCCAGCTCTGAGCTGACTCTGGTTACACCATCTATAGAGTATATGTTTGTCAAATTACTTTTCTAGTGGTAAAATTCCTAAAGCTTAATATGCAGAGCACTTTTGTTGTATCTAGTTATAGGAGATGAAACAGTAAGGCAGTGGATGCATATCTTAAGTTTAAAATCTTTTTATCTGCTTAAAGAGATGGATTTTTATGCGACATAGTGTCATTTGCTTGCTTTAGAGGCTCAGTAGGCTAAAATTAGATTCAGAGCTTTTTTTACTTCAAGGCAGTCACAGTCACAAAGTTTCTTTCTATTACCATGCATTCAGTGTGGATATGTACTATTAAATATTTGTTCTGTTCTTGTTTTATGTAAGTTCTACTGCAATTTCCCCCACAGATAGGCGCTGCAACCCAAGTTTGCTGAGCATCATTGGTTACAACAGCACCACCATTCCAACCCAAGGTCAGGTAGTTCAGTGGTGGGATGCACAAGGAATTGTAGGACTGGTTTTGTTTTTGCTGTGTGTTCTTTATTCAAGGTAAGATTCCTTTAAAAAAAAAAAATCCTGTTAATTTCTATTATTTCTAATTGTCAGATACTGGATTGTGTTTATTTGGGTAACTTCTGTGTCCTTTCCTGTCAAATACAGCATCCGAACATCCAACAACAGCCAAGTGAACAAGCTGATGCTGACCAGTGATGAATCAACACTGATAGAGGATGGAATGCCCAGGAGTGACGGCTCCCTTGATGATGGAGACGATGTTCACCGAGCCATAGATAACGAGAGAGATGGAGTTACTTACAGTTACTCCTTCTTTCATTTTATGCTTTTCCTGGCATCGCTGTATATCATGATGACGCTTACCAATTGGTACAGGTATTTATGTTTGATTATGTGATACTGCACGCATAATGAACATCCAAGATGCTGTCTTTTGCTGGACAAGGAGGCATAAGTTGTATGCTGAGGAATGTAGGTCTTGAATGGGACTTCTCAAGGGAAGTATATTGTTTGAGCTATGTTAAATTAATTGTATTTGGAAATTGGAGTAGCCAACCTTGTTCACAACTGCCTATCATATTTTCAAAGATAATTCTAAGGTAATTCTCATGATTCACTGCTGAAATATGCCCTGCTGAAGTGAACAGGATAGAGTCTTAAGTTCTGTAACATCTAAATATAAAGGGAGATGGGACATGTTACATCAGCAGGCTGAGGGAGGTGATCCTTTCCAACTACTCAGCACTGGTGGCACCACACCTGGAGTGCTGGGTCCAGTCCTGGGCTCCACAGTGTGAGAGGCATGGACATACTGGAGAGAGTTCAGCAAAGGGCACAGAGATGGTGAAGGGACTGGAACATCTGTTATATGAGGAGACGTTTAGAGAGCTGGGACTGCTCAGCCTGGGGAAGAGAAGGCTCAGGGGATCTCATCAGTGTATATAAATAAATACCTGAAGGGAGGGTGTGAAGAGGACAGAGCTGGGCTATTTTCAGGATAGCCCAGTGACGGGACCAGAGGCGATGGGCACACACTGAAATATGGGCTGTTCCCTCTGAACGTCAAGAAGCATATTTGGATTGAAAGGGCAATCACATGCTGACCCAGGTTGCCTAGGGAGGTTGTGAGTCTCCATCCTTGGAGATACTCAGAAGCCATATGGGCATAGTCCTTGTTATCTGGCTCTAGGTGTGTGCCTGCTTGGGCAGGGGGGGTGGATCAGGTGGCCTTCAGACGTCCCTTCCAACCTTGGCCACTTTGTGATGGGTTCTGGTGGAAAGAAATCAGGTTGTCTGCTCCCTGAAAAAACCCTCACAATAAAATAGTGCTCCTATATGTGAATTTTTATTATGTTAATGGCTTGAGCGGATGTTCTTCAAATTTGAAAACGTAAATTATGATCTCTAATAATTTGTTAAAGGACAGTTTGTATCAAAACAGCAACATTAGAAAGGTGTTTCCTTCAAAAGTAACTTAATAGATAGTACTGCTGTAGATGTGATTTGTGGCCCAGCTTGGGTCAATGTGACATCAAGATTATTAGTTCTTCTAGGTGTTGTCTTTTGGCAAGGTAAACCACATTATTTGTATCTAGAAATGCTGTCCATTCCCTGCTTTTCCACAGATTTGCTTAGAGATGCCTCATAATTATGTCTGCTTCTTGACAGCTTCTCTTACTAAATATTTTTTGGTCTGCTGTTGCTTTCCACCTTCCAGTGACACCAGCTTACAAAATGGTATTCTTGTACAGATTGGTGTGAACAGCCTGGAAGAAGGGTAGATATGTCCTTCGAGGTGTGGAGCCAAAGTGAAAATGATTTACTGTAAAAACAGTGCTGACGAGTGGCTTACTACACAAGTATGTCATAATGAAACAAAAATAGCAAATTATCTTTTTTCTCTTTTCCTTCTTTCACAGTCCGGATTCTTCTTATGAGACAATGACCAGCAAATGGCCGTCTGTCTGGGTGAAGATATCTTCCAGCTGGATTGGCATTGTGCTGTACGTGTGGACTCTGGTTGCTCCACTGGTTCTTACAAACCGTGACTTTGACTAAGCTGTGCTGCTCTCTAGGGAGATAGTGCTAGCTTCACCGCATCTTTGAAACAAACAGTATTCCCGATAATAGTGCAGTTGTAAATACGTGTGTGTGCACGCGTGTGTGCGTGTGCTATCCATGTAGTATTCCCCGCTTTCTTCTGCATGATCACCTTGAATCATGTCTTTTGTCATTTCACTAAATGACTTTTTCTAGCTGAGCTCAGTGACAATTGCTATAATGATGGTTTTTATAGGATTACTCCTAGATTGAGTGCTTCGGGAGCATTAGATGTAAGATCAAGACCTTCTGGAAGCAGGGTTTTTTCCCCTCAATTGCATTAAATAGCTGTAGGAAAAGAAGTGCAAGTGTTAATTAGGGTAACAAAACAGTGTTAAGACCAGGCTTTGCAAGAGTAGGAGGAACTGCCTTTGATCGCTGTTGCCTTGACTCCAAATTAAGTCTTGGGTAAGCTCGAGCCTCAACTCTGCATGTTGGAGTTTACAGGACATCTTGCAGCATTTTGGTGCTAATGGCCTGACCTTTTCCCATACGGAGGGCAGCAGCACCGTTAGCCCAGATGTTAAATGGGGAAACTTGCACCTGAAGCTGCGGAGGAGCTGATGTCCTCCTGGGTGCTGTTGGGTGGATGTTGCAGACAGGACAGACACCCTGGGGAAAAACATCCTGGTATCAGATGCTCTGAAGCATGTTTTTAAGGCACTTGTTTACAATGTGTATCTATGTATTATTATTATTATTATTCTTTTTTTTTTTTAAAGTAGTTTAAATGAGATAGCTGTGCTGTAATTTATTGCTGGTTTGTGTGCCACTTTCTTGGCTAAGCTACAATCAGAGTGTTTGAGGAGCCAGGTGGTGAAAACTGTAAGCCCTTTAGAGGAATTTCTTGAGTATTGTGGTTAAAAAAAAGTGGAGGAAAAGGAGCACTGAAATTACAGTAACTGAAGGAGGCTTGCATTAACTGAGGCTTCAACAAGTGTTTCTTAATATATTTGGGGTTCTAAATCTTGAAATCTTTTAGTGTATTAAGTATTTTGCTTGTTGTCCAGTGCCAGAGAGGGACTTGAGCCTAAAAAGTCTAAATCTAGGCATGAGGCAAGACATTAATCTGTTTGATTAAAATACTGTATAGTTCCTGTGCAGTTATGAAATCTTATATGCTTTTGTGCTTGCTGCTTTGTCAGGGCAGTGTGTAAGCTGCAGTATTTATGTTAGTTGTTACAATTTGAGACTAGAGCAGCCTGACTGGGAGTGACCCTTGAGCCTTCAGCAGATGTGCTGACTTGTCACCGTGGTGTTTGTACTATACTGTTACTTCCTCTCGCTGATTGTACTCTTTTATTTCTGCACCTAAACACTGACATTTACTGCAGAAGTCTGACACATCAAACTTGAGATGGTAACGGAAGGATTAGTAAAGGCTTGTAATAATTTGGAATATGTTGTTACCTTATTAATAAATAAATTTGGATGAAGATGTCCAGTGACTTGATGTCTTGTATTGCTGCCACATGTGGCTAGTGTGGGGTTTTGTCTCCTCCTCAGATGCTTTACAGCACCATGTCAGTTTGAGAAGTGACAGCTGCCAGCTGTCTGCCAAGTACTCTGGTGTGGCAGTTCAGCAGTTCCTTGCTCTGGGGAATCACGAGTAACCTCATGTGGTTTCTTCTGGCTCTTCTTTCTGAAAACACAAACATGCTTCACCCAGGTAACTGCTGCAGTGACTGCTGTTGTGCATCCTATGAGAATGTTTGGTTAAGACACTTGAATGCCAGCTTTAATGCATCAGTGCCTGAGGCCTGGAACTGAATTAGGAAGATGTCTGTCCCCTGTGTCTGGATTCAGCTGCTTATGGGAGGGGCTAGACTACTACTTTTTTTTTATAAAAAAAAGGAAGCCTTAAATGCAGTGCCAGTTGTGGAAGGTGTTTTTCCTGTTGCATATATGAAGTTACTAAAACCCAGTTTATCCCTTCATTGGAGCATCTTCCACAGTGGAGCTTCTCAAAACTGTCTACAGCTTTGAGAGCAGAGAGGGAAGAAAACTTTTCAGTTACGGTTTAACGTACTGTTTATATTACATCAGGAGCCTGGGGTGAGATAATTGAAGTTAAAGGTGTCAACTGCATCTTGGCCAAGTGTTGCAGTGACCCCCCTGGCATTCAACTGTGTGCTACAACAACAGTTGAGTTCACATGAGTAAATGCAGGACTTTGGTAAAAGAACAATGAAAACACTGAGTAGGGGGTAGAGCTCTTCAGGGGAAGGAAAGCTACAGGGCTCTGCCACACTTTTTATTAAGAAAACATTGTGTTTTGCCTCAGCAGTACACAGTTTGCTGCATTAGCCACCCGTTTTGGAGGCTTATAGGTAAACTTTGAAGTTTGGAGATAAGATTAAACTCTTTTCCACCAACCATGCCTGGAAGCAGACCAACCTATCTCCTTGCACAGCTACTAGGGCATGAAAAAACACCAGCTGGCACACACAACAAGAGACAACTCTTAACAAGTGTCACACTTAAGTAACATTTATTTTCTCAGAGTAGATGGTCCAAGTTAAAAGCACTCATGCAGTTGAGGGGCCTGGTGGCTGTAAAGAACTTTTCCCCAGTTTGTGCTATGTGTGAGCACTTCCACTGAAGTGAAAGTAAGGCAGAACCAAGATTGAGCAAGGTACAGGCACTTTGTTCCCAGTTCAAGCAGGGAAAAAAAAAGCCTACATCAGGTCCTGGTCCCCCCCACCCCAAAAAAAGCCTCATGTTTGTTAAATAAAACATTGTAAAAAATAGAAAACCTAAGATACAGAAAGTCAGTGCTCCCTAACCGTACACTACTAGTTTACGTCATCATATGTAAGACCAGAAGTATAAGAAATCATAAAATCAAAGCTTACTGTTGACAAGTGTTCAGTTAGCTGGGCCCTTCAGCGATACATGTCATACCAAGTACCCGGCAGCAGGACAGTAACAGTCTGATGTGGTAGTGCCAGCTGTGCCTAACAGCCTGTCTAACCACATCCCTAAACAACTGCTTGGAAGAAGTAACACAGGAAAGGTATTTTAGATTCCACATTATCTGGTTACATAAAACAGTGATTTACAAAAGACTCATATACCAAACAATATTCTAAATAAATAGTTCCTCTTCATGACTATATACAGAGTCCCCAAGACATCAGTTATCCAAGAAGGGCATGTCTGCGTCCATGGGCGCCGGGGCAAGTTCACATAGATAGAAGAGCGTTGCTTCGCTGGCTTCTGCCTCCGTCAGCGGCTCCAGCCGCACCAGTTTGCTTTGGGTGGGCTCGGGATCTAGGCTGCTTTCCAGGAGCTCGTCCGCTTCCAGGGATTTGTCAACAGCCGAAGGAGTTTCAGCCGCCCAGCTCCCACTCTCCACAGCAGAGCCCGGGTTCCCATCGAGGAATGCAAGGAGTGGAAACGCTGTGTATTGTATGAGCTGCTTATCTAAGGGAAAAGAAATGCCCAAACTGTGATCAGTTCACAGGCCTTTCTACATGCAGAAGGAAAAAACAAAATCCAACCCCCAGAATTTATTTAAAGAATAATCAATAAAAACCAGTATAGATGTTTAAGTGAGTGATTAAAGAATTGTTATACTCATGCATAACATTTATTTGTTCAGATGCTCCTGCAAAAAGATCAGTATCTCTGCACCTGGTACAGTGCCAAAAACAAAAAGCAAATACAGTGAAGTATTTTGTTTTGGTTATTTGCTTATCAGCATGACACAAAACCAGGCAAAAAGCAAATAAGATGGTTTTCAGAACAATGCTTCTTCAGCAAAACACTGCAACTCACCTAATTTAGGCTTGGAAACTTGTGAAGCTGCAGGACCAGCATTATTCTTGGTGATTTCTATTCCCTTTGTCTCCACCTGGAAACAAAAGCAAAATCTTCAACACACACTTAGAGCCTTTTCCAATGTCACTAGAACACACAGCTGACCCAACTATTAAAAAAAATTAAGTTCTTCTTTCTGAAGGGATGCAGTGGTATCAGCTACCCACACACTAACAGACCCTGGCTGAGAAAGTGTGAAATGTAACACAGGCTGACTCAAGCAAGAACCAAAACTAATGCCCATAAATGAAGACAACAAATCCAAAGAGCTAGATCTTCACTCTGCTGCTTATTCTTGTGTTTATTTTCCCACCAGACAATACAGATGCAACCATTCTGACAAAGTATGTACCATGTTTGCAAGTGCTAAAATCTTAGGGGATACAAAAGTCAAGAGCCTGGTACAATATACAGATACTGGCCTCATGGTAGTGTGAGTTTTAAAGGACATTAATTAGTGTGCTTTTCCCTTTTCTGCATAAAACCTAACAAACAGGATGAATTCAGCTGCCACCTTCCTACTCTCATGGAAAGCCTTCAGAGCCAGAGCATGAAAAAAGTGCTATTATACCAGTAAAGGAAATAAAAGATGAATGATGTTTGCATCTCTCACTAGTGTGTACATTGAGCAATGGATTTAAAACTTACTTTGGCATTAGTGATATGATCTGTGGGATTCATCTGCACGGAGCTTGTAAAAAGCTGAGTAAGACAAAACACATCAAGTTTTAGGTATATCAATGTTGCTAGTAAGAATACAAGACCATCACATCTGCCTGTGTGAGAATAATCCCTATATTTAATGTTTTCACCCTCCATCAGGATTAGAGTTTATTTACAGGTAGTTATCACTTTTGCAAAGACAAACTAGCTTTGGAGCATAATGGTTTGGAATTCCATGAACCTCAGTCACAAAGGAAACAACTGCATTAACATCTAACTTAGACTAACACAGTTTACTGCAGTCTTTAAACATAGATCCCTGCTTTTGTTGCTGCATGGAGAAGCCTGTGTACAAAAAGGAAGAACACATCCTGATCAAATTTGCAAGTGACACCAAACTGGAAGGAGTCATAAGTATGTGGGAGAGCAGAGCTGCTGCTAAGAGGGATTTCAGCAAGGCAAAAAAGGAGCCAACAGGTCTGGTTCAACAGCTGGATGCACTTAGGATATGATAACCTCATGCACTGGCCCAGGTGAGGAACAGAGAGACAGGAAGCAGTTCCTCGGAGGGTCATGATAGGCAACACCCTCCCATGAGCCAGCAGCAGAGCTCTGCTCCAGGGCAGCACACTCTGGGACAGGCAGAGCACAGCCAGGAGGTCAGTGGGAACAGTAATTTCTCTCTGCACAGCACCTGAGGCCACGTGGGGAAGAGCGTCCAGTTTTAGGCCTCCCAGTATGAGGGTGTCCAGAGGGCCACAGGTGTTTGGGGACTTAGGCCATGAGAGGCTGAGGGAGCCTGGCTGATCTTGTCTGCAGAAGGCAGACAACAGGGGATAACTGCACTCTTCCACTGCTTCTGAAGAGGTGGTTACGGAGGAGACAAACTCCAGAGGTGGACAAATGACAAGAGACAAGAACTACAAGGTGCAGCAGGCGACATTGTGACTGACTGAAGTAAATTCTTCAGAAAGAGTCAAGCACTGGAACAGGCACCTGAGAGGCTGCAGAATCTCCCATCTTCAGAGATTTCAGAATTTGAGTCAACGAAGTCCTGAGCAACATGATCTAAATTTCAAGTTGGCCCTCCCTTGAGCAAGGGGGCTGGACTAGATGATAAGCACAGATCCCTTCCAACCCAGACCATTCCACTTAACAAACATCTGAAGAGAAACTGGGAACATACACATACTCCTAAAAAATAACCTGAAATGTTAGAAAAGCTTTTAAAATAAATGCCAAGAGTGAGCCTTTTTAACCCATTGAGAAGACCACAGATGATGTACTGGGCTATTTCAAAGCAACAGTATTAATCTAATTGGTGTTTTGAGTTTACATAGCAACAAATGTAAGCATTATCTCATTAAGAAAGCTATTCTTCAGTCAAAAACTTAAGCATTTGCTTGAGCAGTGGCATAGCACCAAGAATTATACCAGTGCCCCAGAAACTGGTGCTCCTCAAGGGACAGTGCTGGGATTGGTACTGTTTAACATCTTTGTCAGCAACATGGACGGTGGATTGAGTGCACCTTCAGTAAGTCTGCCGATGACACCAAGCTGTGTGGTGCGGTCGACATGCTGGAGGGAAGGGAGATGCCATCCAGAGGGACCTGGACAGGCTGGAGATGTGGGCCTGTGCAAACCTCATGAAGGTCAACAAGTCCAAGTGCAGGGTCCTGCACATGGGTGGAGGTAATCCCAAACACAAATACAGGCTGGGCAGTGAGTGAATTGAGAGCAGCCCTGGGGAGAAGGACTTGGTGGTATTAGTGGATGGAAAACTGACTGTAAGCCAGCAATGTGTGCGTGCAGCTCAGAAAGCCAACTGTGTCCTGGGCTGTATCCAGACAAGTGTGGCCAGCAGATCAAGGGAGGTGATTCTCCCCATCTCTGCTCTGCTGAGACCTCACCTGGAATCCTGTGTCCAGTTCCAGGGCCCCCAACACAAGAAGG